TATAATAAAATGCTTGCTGGAATTTTAACATTTGACTTCACTAGAGACTTAGTGGGACTTTGCCTTAGGCAAGTTTTTAATAGCAATAATAAAAAAATACTTAATGGTACTTAGGGTAAATAATGTGTGGTCACTATGTTTAAAAAAAAGTAATACCAAACATCTGTGCTAGATTTCCACATGATAAAATCCCGATATTACCTTCAATTCTCCCAAAGTTATAGAGAAAAAAATGTTTATTTAAAATTCTAGAAGAGACATGTGATAACCAATTTAAGAACTTTAAGGCAGGCATCTTGTGTTTTCTGACAGGAATGTAAATTTAGTGATCTTCATGGTATTTAATTCTGAAGAATGCCATAGTATGACATTATGGCTTCAAGACAGATTTTAAACCACTAACAGAGTTACTGGGAGACTATCCAGACCAAGARTGCCCTTTTTCTTAAGTCTACTTGCCAAGACCACTTTGTTCCCTGCAGGATACATTAATTTCCTWATCAAAGCAAAAGTTATTAATTTTTTTCATTTTTCAGAAAATAACAATAAATTTCAGCTACCTTTGAAAAACGCTAACAAAAATATTGAGCTGTTTTAGTTCCTTAAAGGCATGTGATGCAGTCTAACTCAATGATGGAAAACTGAGGGCAAACTGGACAGAAATTCTCAGAAAGCATGAAARAGAGCTCAACATTCTCTTAAGAAGCTGCATCTCCAAACTGAAGCAGAAACACATTTTTTCTCTCTTGCTTTGTGAATAAGGAACTAAGAAAACTTTTGCTATAACTAAACTGGGAATTCAGCTATCCTTGTGAAAGCTTATTGCCTAGATTTTAAATTCCTTGACACTTGGAAAGAAATCTAACCCCATTTTTTGYATAGCTTATTTCCCAACATTTTAGTGAACCTTGCCGACACTGACATTCTTTGCTATTCCTGTAAGAGCAGGATTCCAACTCCAGCTTTCTTCTCCTCCTCCTGCTCTGTAATGGGCCTCWCATTTGCCATTGTTTGTGACCTTCAAACACAAAGCTTGAGTAAAACTGTCACCACAAGTTTGCCTCTGTGAAAGTTTAAAGATGCAGTGACTCCACACTGCAGAAAGGCGGAATCTTTGAGGGCCATGGAGTCAACCCAGCAAGGTTAGTCATACTGTATCTGCTAAGAATRTGGAAACAAATTAAGAAAAATAACATTTTTGTTTTCTGGAGTTATTTCTCTGCCTCTAGCACACCAGCCAATTCCATGACTCTTGCCTGTACTTTCTCAAAGAAATACAATCTAAAGCCTGGAGAAATTCCAGATCTTTAAAGGCAGCAAYGTTAGAAAATTCTGGTAAGGCTAGTCACAGGATGGGGGGGTTGGGGGGAATAAGCAATCAGTGTCTTAAAAAAAGAGAAATTTTTGCATGTTTCTTGGCCATTCAACCAATCATTTTGAATCAGAACAGTAGGATATTTCTTTCTGGTTATGTGTGATCTTACATGAAATGGGCAGAAAATTACTAATTGACTTAAAGACAACAAGAAGTTATTTCTCTCCACCTGGTTAAGTGAACTCTGAAGAAGTTACAAGCTAGGCAAAGGCAGTTGAGGAATAACAAAGAACACCTCYCTTACTATTCAGTTCCTAGTAGGACCAGTGGTCAGGGGGTGCAGGTCAGGGAGATAGAACTGACACTCATTTGAGATGCGAGTGTGTCAGAGCAGTTGTCCTTAATTCCCAGTATTTCAAGACCAGTTCTTCAGTTCCTCTCACAACATGGTAGTTTAATTCTCTGGTTTGGTCAAAATATCACCCACCAGAGGTTATTAACAGCTTTCTACAGCACAATGTTGAGCTATCAGAAAGACTGGGAATGAACAAAAGAGATAAACAGCTTTGCACTGTTTTAAAGCACTAACAAATGAACAGCATAAGAAAGTTACGGTTGCATTAGGGGAAAACACGGTCAAAAGCTCAGCAAAACATATATAAGACTTAACCTTTCTCCAGCTAGGTTGGTACACACTTTGATTCCAAGAACTGAAAAATCCAGATTGAAAGCAATTTTAAATTAAATACCAACAGCAAGGAGCWCATGAGAAGTCCATCTCTACACTACATTTTAATATAGTGTTGACACTGTATAGGACCAGTAGTCTTCAGTTATTGTTTCTACATTCAACCTAATTTACACCACATTCACCTTTTTTCCCATAGACAGCAGTGTTTCTGCTGGAAACTACAGCAGAAGCTATCACTGTAAAGATAAACTAATAAAAACTGTTTGTTGAATAATTTCATATGATGCTACAGAGAATTTTATCATCCTTAGCTAGTTTCAGAGAGTCACCAAATCACTAAGGTTGGAGAAAACCTCCAAAATCATAAAAAATATTTGACAAATTCCACCTTGTCAATTAAACCATGACACTGAGTGCCACATCCAGTCATTTCTTGAATGTCTCCAGGGATGGTGACCCCCAACACTTCCCTGAGTTGTTCACCCATTGTTGAACAACMCTTTCCATTAAGAAATTCCTTCTCAATCTCCCCTGGAGCAGACAGTTTCAAGTGCAGTGGCAGAAATAAAATAGTCAAACTAATTCAAAAGAAGAAACAAGCATTCAAGATTTGATCAAACAGAACATTACACATGACACAGTACTAATTTCTCAAAAATACACTCAACACTTGAGCTATACTCCAACCTGTAAAAATAAAGAAAGCACAGTATTTTAGGTGATGCTCTAAAACAACAAATATTTTGTTTAAAGGTATAAAAAGATTAACACAATTTGAGTGAACACTAAATGATTCATGAAKGAAATTCATTAAAATCATATCCAAATTCTAGCTTTGAAAGTATTCTCAGGAGGAAAATAGAGTTCAGTAACTCTGCAAGGTGATTTACACAGCTGGAATGAAAACKTACAAACACTAGTTAAGAAAATAAAAATATCAATCCACTGGGGAGGCTACTGCTGAAGAYTCAACACATTAATCTCTGGTTTACCATACTGAAAACCTGCATTGTGCAGGAGGAGGAACTAAAAGCAGTGACAGCAATTCAAATGAGCACTGCAGAACAAGGACTTTCCAGGCTACACACAAAGATCAAAAGTTGATCTATTTGGACCTTTAACAAATACATAATACTTTTAACTCCACATAATGTCTGATGTTACTTCAAAGCATGYAGACAACTTTCTATAACAAGAAAGCGAAAGAAAAAATTTGCATCTCAGAATGTTTTCCAAGAGCCCACCAGCACAATCCAATCCAGAATCCTGGATAAACAAACAGGCACCTACTGAAATATTCTGTTCCTAAAGAGCTCCCACAGCCTACACATCATACGTCCAAGGTCCCTACAACAAGCTTCAAATATGCAGAAATTCAAAAAAATAAATAAAACTGAAAACCTATAAATACCATGCAACAGAAAGAGAGCTGGAGAGACAAACTTCACCCAAAGCCTTGGATTTTTAGAAAAACAAGGAAATTGTGAGCTAAAATCTCCAAAACGTTAGATAGTTCCTGCCAATCTAGCTAGGACAGATTCCAGGCAACAAATCAAGTAAATTTTTTAACCTTGACCAGTTATCAAGGTATGAGAGCATATCATAAGCAGTAAATCCGAATCTGTAGTTGCAGTACACCAGACAAAAGACAGCGTCCGTATTCTCATATAAACTGAGGGAGAAACAACTATTTTCCCTACCCCTGAGAATAACTGAGGGAAGGAACAATAAATTAATTCAGTCTAAGTACAGGAGAACCATGCACAATCCACAGGTAGCGATAATATCCCCTTTCAGCATTTCTTGGACTGATCAATAAATTGGAAGCCAAAGAGMATTACCTCGACAGTTACATTTTACCTGCTTTTCAAGCTCAATCTAGCTTGATTTCTCACCGTCCTTGAATAAAATTCTCATTAGAAACTTCCTTCAAATTTCCTCATGTCCAGTATACAGCCAAATCAGGGTTCACAAACAAGAAAATATTTTGACCACAGTCTCTAGATGCAAATAGCTGTTCTTAATCTCCAGCACTAATTCTTAAGCTCTTGCACTAATTTCATTTGCACTTTGATCTGTCAAGCAAATTGGTGTTTTCAGTGAAGTGGAAGCTCAGCCTGACTGCACTGCAGCTGAGTTTCCAAGCACCCAGAGCTATTTAATCTGATTCCCTTGCTGAGTGCAGCCTGTACCTCCCTGCAATCCTCACCCACCTCAGCAGGGTCTTTGTGAGGAAGATTGTCCCTGCCTTGTTTGCCTGACAGCCACACGATAACACTGCTGGGATCCAAAGGGGCAGATGGGCTTGACACCAGGCCAGATTTTCTTTCAATTGTACTAATCCAATCATCCCAAATCCAGCCCCAAAAATGCATTTACAAATGATGTGGGCAGCTGGTGCCGGTGGGATCAATATGGGCTATACTCACAAASTATAGCCATCACYACWGTGTTTTAAGGTGACMRCATTATGGTATATTTATGTAAAAASCTGAAGCATCCCCACGTGAAAATACATTAGAAATACAYATAGGCAYAAGCCTTKGTTTAWATRGAAGGCAAATAATTACAAAACACTMTTTTCAAACACCAGAGGCATGAAAGTCCCACACAAAGGTAGCGTGCACTCATAACTCTTTCGTTAGAGCAGCAGCAGGCATCACTTCCCTYTTCAGTAGGTCTAGTCTTCACTTGCCAGATAACACTTTGTCAAAAGAAAAGGAGAAAGAAACTTTGCAACGCAACATTTCAGAAACAATAAGCCCCAAATCTCCTTCTCCTCCATATTTTTTTATACTTGCTCTCAAATGCCATACAGTCCTGCTGTGGACTTATTACAGATAYAAAACAAATGCATGCTATCCTTTTCATGAAAAAATTGGAGCACAAAAAGGAAACAGATCAATACACTACAAAATGCTTCTAAAAGTGCAATAAGTATTACGACTATTTTTAACAAAAGTATGCATTTTGAATAAATAAGTTTTCCATTACCTCTCTAAGATGCATGTTTTCCTTCTCCTTCTGATCTAAAATCACTTCYAAATGATTAACCTGAGATTCAGCCTCTGCCATCCTTCGAGTTCTCTCATTGTCGTCTTCCATTCCTTTTGAAGGCAAACCTTTACTYTGCAACATCTCTAGAAGCTTTTTTATTGATTCATCTCTGGCATTTAGTGTTTGCTTTTGTGTTTCAATCCTAAGCTCCATTTCTTCTAGAGTTTTTCTCAACAGGAAGAGCTCCTTAGCTTGTCTATCATGTTCTGCCTGAAGTCTTCGAAAATTCTCCTCTGTGAGCTCAATGGTAAAATGCTCAGCCCCTCGGTTCCCACTTTCTTGCTGGAGAAGATGGTTAAGGTCTCTCTGGGTTCTAAGCTCATCTTGAAGTGCCTGGATTGTCAATTGCAGATGCTGCAACAAAGAAAAAGTAAAAAGCAATTTAGGATGTGAATAYAGAATTAGTATTTGATCAAACTTTTGTTGTATGCTGTTACAAAACGTCATTAGGATTAGTAATGAAAGGATATCAAATGACCTTATAAAATATCAATGCAGGTGACAATATCTGTAATGATATTTTTCAAGTGCTTGTAGAAAATAAAAAAAAGAAGACAACACACACAGACACAAAACAATGTCAGCTACAGATAAAATAGAAACAAAAGGCAAACCAACAAACCCAAAMACTAGGCAGTGACACATCCATTAGAATAATCAATGTGTACCCCTACAAAACTCAAAGACTCAGTATTCCATGTTTTCTAAATTACTTCATAGACTAAAGATGAATCTGCTCTTCATGGTGCTCAACAGTGCTGCTGTTTTGTAAAGTCAATCAAAGGCCTCACTAGAATTAAAAGGGACTTTTGGGAGTAGCTGAGCTGGGGCTGGTTGGTTTCATTTTTGCATTTTGGCAGCTAAAGCTATGAACAAGTTTAGTAAACAGGATTACTGTATCTCTAAAAAGCAAACAAAAAAWATCACAGTAAGCAATACTGAATTTTGAAAAATAAATTTACTGCAAATAGTGGACAAACCTTTGTTCTTCTGGCATCCAAAAACTGAACAGCATGGTAAATGAAAAAATGAAGCAAAATCAACATAAACAAAGGTCAGATGCAAGCAAAGGAGATTCAACAGAAAGAACTGAGTTCAACAAAAAGTATCTTCAACAGAAAAAAATAATTTTATTGAGTTATACAGAAAGGCAACAACAAATTCACAATACTCAAACATATAAACCTATAGACAGACTTTACTCAATAGATATGACAAAGAAAAAGATATTAGAAATATTCGGTCTCATGGTGAATTACAACATTTCTACTGGACATTACTCTTCTTTCACACTTCTAAGTTTTTCAGAAGACTGTAACTTGYCCTAAAATATTTCTACTACATCTGAGTACAGGGGTCTGTCTGTGTTCCAGGGGTACATCTTGCACTCCTTATTCAACACAGATCAAAACCAAGATGCATTTTGCCCATGTTAAGGTTGGAATATAGATAATTACCCTAAATTACTATGGTTTATGATGTTCACTTTAAATTATATATTTATGTATCAATTTGTTTTTCTTCTTGATTCTCCCTGTATTCATTGCCTACACAGCATACTGGGCTTTTAGAAATATTAATTCCTGAAAAATCACTCMGTCTGTACCAGAAGATATTTAATTGAAGGAATTCAGGGACTTAAATGCATGTCATCAGACCTTTTTGGTTTAATTGATGTTCTGCAACTCCACATTCAAAAAACAAGAAAAACAACAAAAACCACACACAAAAAAAGCAACAAAAAAACAGATACCGAACAAACAACATAACTTCATTTCAACACTACCTTCACATTTTACACAAATACATGTAAATCTGCCAGATCATAGCAATCATTTAAACTGAATGAAAAATTCAAAACCTTAAGAAACGAACCTTTTGAAATTATGCCTTTTATCAGTTATTTGAAATGGCAAAAAAAGAACTGCTGGTGTTGGAATTCAGTTAGACTCTTCCAATCTGTTCTATCATTAAATAAGCACTATTGTAATRTATGTCCAGATCTTAACTCTTTTAKTATTTGCATCTTATTAGGCACACMCTCAGCTGAGAGGATACAAACATAGGCCACTCATTTAGAGCCCTGCTTTTATTTAATGGCAGTTCTTATCTTTTCCTAATCTCATCATCTTTTTAATTAACTGTGTAAGCTCAAAAGCTCCAATAAACTTAAAACTCCTCTACATGTCTCAGCTTCTCCACTTTGAATCTACTAATGGGCCAAGGGTTTGTGACCCCAAGCCTGACCACACCTTCTGGTTCCAAAATTATTTCATCACTGTGACAGTGACAAAAGAGAGCTGGGTCTTCACACATGTCCTAAACACACACACACAGCGCCTGTCTCCCTTTTCACCATCTCTGAAGAGCAAAACRGTGTGCCCTAGGATAAAACACACCAGGTGGAACGCTATGTTCACAGAATTAATACATTCCAAAGACAAGGGGAGCTGAGATGTTTGCAATTGACTTTGGTGCACATCAGCCTGCAAAACTGTATAAAATGCTGCTGAGGACTAGGCCAGCCGGGCAAAACTGTCTCCTGAAGTTACAGGCAGCTTCTCTGGCATGGATGCCTGTAGAGTACAGACAGCACAAAGAAAGAGAACACCCCCCTTATGGATGGGTGAGTAAGGGGGTTACGATCTGGTCAAACACAGAAATGAAACACTAAAGTAACTACATTGGTGCTTTGTTATTGAGAATGCTGCAAGGCCAGACTCTCTGAACCTGAATGTTTCTACCTGAACSTGCTTAAATTATAGCTCTTTACACAGAATTCATCGACCAAAACCTGACGCTAAATGGACCAAGCYGCACTGAGACTTCTCTGAGAACTTYAGACAGCAAGAGGGGTCTGGATGAAGCTGGTGACTCCACAGGAAGACCATATCCTGATTATACTATAATCCATTGAAACAGATAATAGAGTTGTTCTTTGGATTCTGCACTGTATTATTTAGGCATTCCATTAACAATAAATGTAATCCTAACCACCCACATAATCACTGTCCTACTTCTCACAYTTGACCAAGAACCCTCTCTCTATTGCTGTGATACAGCTAAGCAAYAGAAATATTYAGCAATAACCAGTACTCCAGAARTAATMAAAATAAATTTTTCCTGATCTGAATAATGATTTACAATACAYCCTCCTAATGTTAAATCAGACAATATTTATTACTTCATGCTAAATCTTATTTGTAAATAAATGTTTTTTTCCAAAGTCAACTAGCTTCTCTATATATCAAATGTCTATRTCTATAAAAATCTTGATACACACATCACTAACATGAAAACCTTCCGAATGCAAACTGAAAAAAACACAATTCTTGGATCAACATAAAAATAATTAGAAATCAGGACTCAAACAGCAATTCTGGTTTAGATAAGYGAGTTTAGTTCCTTTTCTGCCCCCAGCAGCCTGTGCACACTGTCCTTAGGCTCTACCCAGAAYCCACCTTAGTCACTAAGAATGACAGTAGTTCTGGCTGCTTCTCTGTAATTACGTTAAAACTAACAGCCTCAACTGTGGCAGACTACTGCTACTTTGACATAAAAGAATCCATTTTTGTACACCTTCAAGACTTAGAACATGGTGGACCCGATTTAGACTTGTGCTGGCACAGATTTTTGTATCTGCAGCTAGCTAAGGAGAGAACAAATGTTGTGAGGGTGGAAARAAATTGTATAATTAACTGCAGGGGAAGGAAAGTAGGAGTGCTGTGAATATCTGTCACACTGCTGTCATTACAGACAGAACTTTATGGGATTTTTTGAAAATCACGCAAGAACGCATTATTTATAATTTCTATTAAAAATGGACCATTTGGACCAGAAATATTTCAATGCCAATTTTTGACAATACATAAATAGTTCTCTCAGAACTTTTTCAATCCTTCTCAGTAGCCCAGCTCCAAGAAGCAATCCATGGWACTGTGAATTGCCCCATAAATTGAAACGAAACTATAAAAAGAAGATTAATTAATGGCTTATCCCAGATTCCACTTGACATTCTACGCAAGGAAGTTCCTCTACTCTGTGCCAACTAACTACTCCCAACAGAACTGCCTGCTGAGAACCAACCTGCCTCAGCACTTTCAGAGCATCCCACAGCCTCAGACGTGCAGCAAACCGTGGAGGGGAATGAATCCACAAGGAAACTCACTGATTTAAACCTGTTAGTCCACCTACAGAAGTACACGGCTTCTCATGCTCTGCACAGTCACACTGCCACTGAAAGCAAAGAACATATTCAAGAACAGCCCACTGGATTTTAGCTCTTGATTCTTCAGCTTCTTTCCCATCCCAGTAAATACAAAATTGACAGGGCTGAATCAGCTGACCCAGTCTAGTTTCCTGAGAAGGGCAAGTATACAATGCTGCAGAAAACTGGGCAAAAAAATCCTCCTGTGTAACTGAACACTGCAGAAAGCTACAGCTATACCTGAACAATACCTGGGCAAACACAACAGCAAATTCTCCTATCAACCACACTCTCATTTTCTAAAATCAAGGCTCCTTATTTATTCCCTTATCTATCACTGTTCCATTTTAAGTCTTCACAGTATGAGGCTCCATCACTGAAAGGAAACAGCCTACTTTAAGCTTTCTAATGAACTGCATCTAAATCAATTTGTATGTTAACTTTAGTTGTGCTACTGAAAGAAGTATGAACATTAGACTTGCAAATATTTACAAGTATTGTTAAAGAAAAACATGCAAATCCTAATTTTCTTCTGTAAAGGAAAAAAAGGGAATTTGAGATATTTTCTTCATTATCATAAATTAAGAAATGGATTCTCTCAAGCATTTTCTCATCTGCCTATTACACAATTCATAAATCTGGCATGGAAATAACACCACAGAGAATCAGTTGACTAGAATTGTGCTTGAATAAGACAGGACTGAGAGAAATAGGTGAAAGAAGAAGACAGATGTCATTTGTGAGGAATCACAAGAGATTCTGACCACACACAATGAATTTTCAGCATCAAAAATTCTGAGCATGAGATGGGAGAGCTTTTGCGTAACACGGCTGATGTAACAGTGTATTTAAAAAGGGAGAATTCTTGTCTACACTGACTTTCCTTACTTTTTCTTTCTTTATGCCTTTAAATTTGCTGTCTTGTCAAATTCTATAAAGTGTGCCCTTACCACTGTGCTTTGCAAGTTAAAYAAGGAATCTTGTCACGTACACTTAAATCTGTATTTCTGAACACAGATGTGGTRGGCTGACCTTGGCTGGAGGCCAGGGACTCCACCGAGCCACCCTATCACTCCCCTCCTCAGCAGGACTGGGGGCGGGTGGAGAATAAGATGCAATAAACCTCGTGGGTCAAGGTAAAGGCAGT